CCATAGGCTCAGGAACCTGTACACCTGTTGATTGACGGTTGAGAGGCGGGACCAAAGAGCCAGAGCTCAACCCCCACAAGCACAACTAGGTGAGTACAACTAGGTGAGTACACCCACACACTAGCAATGGTGTTGATACCGTTACTCTCTCTCTCTCTCTCTGTCTCTCTCTCTCTCTCTCTCTCTCTCTCTCTCTCTCTCTCTCTCTCTCTCTCTCTCTCTCTCTCTCTCTCTCTCTGCCCTCTGCCTCCTTCTGAACGCTGTTAACAGTTTACAATTACTAGTTCTCCCCTGGAACACGACCCGTTGTGGGTTTACTTCCATGTCCCTAATTATTGCTGGCCCAGTCAATCCTCCCAGTTTGTGCGCCGCCGAATGTGCGTGTAAATGATTCAATGACACCCGGAGATACCTGGAGATACTTGGAGATACTTAGAGAGGGTCTCAGGAGTATTCCTACTCCCCAGAGCCCGTCCCGACTTGGTTCACCAGGCTGTTGCTTGGAGCAGCCCGCAGGCGCACATACCCACCACAACCTGGTTGGTCCGGCACTTCTTGCAAGCACTTATCTAAGTGCCTCTTGAATACCTACACCTTTGTTCCGGCAATATTTCTAGTGCTTGCTGGGAGGGCGTTGAACAGCTGTGGACCTCTGATGTTCAGTGTTCTCTGATTGTGACTATGGCACCTCTGCTCCTCACTGGACCTCTGATGTTCAGTGTTCTCTGATTGTGACTATGGCACCTCTGCTCCTCACTGGACCTCTGATGTTCAGTGTTCTCTGATTGTGACTATGGCACCTCTGCTCCTCACTGTACCTCGATGTTCAGTGTTCACTGATTGTGACTATGGCACCTCTGCTCCTCACTGTACCTCGATGTTCAGTGTTCACTGATTGTGACTATGGCACCTCTGCTCCTCACTGTACCTCGATGTTCAGTGTTCACTGATTGTGACTATGGCACCTCTGCTCCTCACTGGACCTCTGATGTTCAGTGTTCTCTGATTGTGACTATGGCACCTCTGCTCCTCACTGGTTCTATTCTGGACTTCATACCGTGCCTTTCACTCCAGTACGTTGTTATTTTACTGTGTAGATTAGGGACCTGACCCTCCAGTATTTTCCAGGTGTATATTATTTGGTATCTCTCTCGTCTCCTTTCTAGTGAGTACATTTGGAGAGCTTTGAGACGATCCCAATAATTTAGGTGTTTTATCTATGTTACGTACATGGCAAAGTATGGCGTATATATTGTCTGTATGTCGCGTATGTCCGGGACACAACCAGCCCGGACACAACCAGCCCGGACACAACCAGCCCGGACACAACCAGCCCGGACACAACCATCCCGGACACAACCAGCCCGGACACAACCATCCCGGACACAACCATCCCGGACACAACCATCCCGGACACAACCATCCCGGACACAACCAGCCCGGACACAACCATCCCGGACACAACCATCCCGGACACAACCAGCCCGGACACAACCATCCCGGACACAACCATCCCGGACACAACCATCCCGGACACAACCATCCCGGACCACAACCAACCCGGACACAACCAGCCCGGACACAACCATCCCGGACACAACCATCCCGGACACAACCATCCGGGACACAACCATCCCGCCCGACACAACCATCCCGGACACAACCATCCCGGACACAACCATCCCGGACACAACCAGCCCGGACACACCATCCCGGACACAACCATCCCGGACACAACCAGCCCGGACACAACCAGCCCGGACACAACCAGCCCGGACACAACCAGCCCGGACACAACCATCCCGGACACAACCATCCCGGACACAACCATCCCGGACACAACCATCCCGGACACAACCAGCCCGGACACAACCAGCCCGGACACAACCAGCCCGGACACAACCAGCCCGGACACAACCAGCCCGGACACAACCATCCCGGACACAACCAGCCCGGACACAACCATCCCGGACACAACCAGCCCGGACACAACCATCCCGGACACAACCAGCCCGGACACAACCAGCCCGGACACAACCAGCCCGGAGCCCGCACAACCAGCCCGGACACAACCATCCCGGACACAACCAGCCCGGACACAACCAGCCCGGACACAACCATCCCGGACACAACCATCCCGGACACAACCAGCCCGGACACAACCAGCCCGGACACAACCATCCCGGACACAACCATCCCGGACACAACCAGCCCGGACACAACCATCCCGGACACAACCAGCCCGGACACAACCATCCCGGACACAACCAGCCCGGACACAACCAGCCCGGACACAACCATCCCGGACAAAACCAGCCGGACACAACCAGCCCGGACACAACCATCCCGGACACAACCAGCCCGGACACACATCCGGACACAACCATCCGGACACAACCAGCCCGGACACAACCAGCCCGGACACAACAATCCCGGACACAACCATCCCGGACACAACCATCCCGGACACAACCAGCCCGGACACACCATCCCGGACACAACCAGCCCGGACACAACCAGCCCGGACACAACCATCCCGGAACCAACCAGCCCGGACACAACCATCCCGGACACAACCAGCCGGACACAACCAGCCCGGACACACCCATCCCGGACACAACCATCCCGGACACAACCATCCCGGACACAACCATCCCGGACACAACCAGCCCGGACACAACCATCCCGGACACAACCATCCCGGACACAACCAGCCCGGACACAACCAGCCCGGACACAACCAGCCCGGACACAACCAGCCCGGACACAACCAGCCGGACACAACCATCCCGGACACAACCATCCCGGACACAACCAGACACAACCAGCCCGGACACACAACCAGCCCGGACACAACCATCCCGGACACAACCATCCCGGACACAACCAGCCCGGACACAACCATCCCGGACACAACCAGCCCGGACACAACCAGCCCGGACACAACCATCCCGGACACAACCATCCCGGACACAACCATCCCGGACACAACTGGACGAAGGATTAGTTACTGAGTTTAACAATGTCAAAGTTCAAGCCGCCGCTCCAGTTGATAACACTCGAGTTGCACTCAAGATAACCCGCACTCACGATAACCTGCACTCAAGATAACCTGCACTCAAGATAACCTGCACTCACGATAACCTGCACTCACGATAACCTGCACTCAAGATAACCTGCACTCAAGATAACCCGCACTCAAGATAACCCGCACTCAAGATAACCCGCATTCAAGATAACCTGCACTCAAGATAACCTGCACTCACGATAACCTGCACTCAAGATAACCTGCACTCAAGATAACCTGCACTCAAGATAACCCGCACTCAAGATAACCTGCACTCAAGATAACCCGCATTCAAGATAACCTGCACTCAAGATAACCCACTCAAGATAATCCACACTCAAGATAACCTGCACTCAAGATAACCTGCACTCAAGATAACCCACACTCAAGATAACCCGCACTCAAGATAACCCACACTCAAGATAACCCACACTCAAGATAACCTGCACTCAAGATAACCCACACTCAAGATAACCCACACTCAAGATAACCTGCACTCAAGATAACCCACACTCAAGATAACCTGCACTCAAGATAACCTACACTCAGGATAACCTGCACTCAAAATAACCTGCACTTAAAATAACCCGCACTCAAGATAACCCGCACTCAAGATAACCTGCACTCAAGATAACCCGCACTCAAGATAAACCGCACTCAAGATAACCCGCACTCAAGATAACCCGCACTCAAGATAACCCGCACTCAAGATAACCCGCACTCAAGATAACCCGCACTCAAAATAACATGCACTCAAAATAACCGGCACTCAAGATAACCTGCACTCAAAATAACCCGCACTCAAGATAACCCGCACTCAAGATAACCTGCACTCAAGATAACCTGCACTCAAGATAACCTTAACTCAAGATTACCCACACTCAAGATAACCTTAACTCAAGATAACCTGCACTCAAGATAACCTGCACTCAAGATAACCTGCACTCAAGATAACCTGCACTCATGATAACCCTCACTCAAGATAACCTGTACTCAAAATAACCTACACTCAAGATAACCGGCACTCAAGATAACCCGCACTCAAGATAACATGTACTCAAGATAACCTACACTCAAGATAACCCGCACTCAAGATAACCCGCACTCAAGATAACCTACACTCAAGATAACCCGCACTCAAGATAACCCGCACTCAAGATAACCCACACTCAAGATAACCCGAACTCAAGATAACCCGAACTCAAGATAACCCGCACTCAAGATAACCCGCACTCATGATAACCCGAACTCAAGATAACCCACACTCAAGATAACCCACACTCAAGATAACCTGCCCTCAAGATAACCTGCAACCTCTCTCTCTCTCTCTCTCTCTCTCTCTCTCTCTCTCTCTCTCTCTCTCTCTCTCTCTCTCTCTCTCTCTCTCTGTCTCTCTCTCTGTCTCTCTCTCTGTCTCTCTCTCTGTCTCTCTCTCTCTCTCTCTCTCTCTCTCTCTCTTCTCTCTCTCTCTCTCTCTGTCTCTGTCTCTGTCTCTGTCTCTGTCTCTGTCTCTCTCTCTCTCTCTCTCTCTCTCTCTCTCTCTCTGTCTCTGTCTCTGTCTCTGTCTCTCTCTCTCTCTCTCTCTCTCTCTCTCTCTCTCTCTCTCTCTCTCTCTCTCTCTCTCTCTCTCTCTCTCTCTCTCTCTCTCTGATTCAATGTTAAATTATGCATTGAATAACAAATCAATTGATACGTATTTGTTCATTCGTTGCAGGAGTGTGAAGACTGACCAAGCTGACTGTTGCTGCTGGCCGAGAGACACAAGTCATCAATGCCTTCCTAAAAACCTTCACATCCGGCCCGTCTAAACTGACGATGGGGCCAGAGTTCATGTGGACGGAGGGTCCTGAGGAGTGCGCGGGTATCGAGTGCGGTCCCGCAGGGCCAGATAACGCCAGCATGGGTATGCTTACCTCTACCCACATGCCCAGGGGTGACAACCTGCCGGATATATCCTTCCCGGCGTACATGCAGGGTGTGTACACAGGGTGGTGCCTGGTGCTGCTGGTGGTAGGCCTGGTGGGCAACGTGTTGGTGCCCCTGGTCGTGGTCAGGGACCGGGAGCTGAGAGCCGCGTCGACCAGTGTGTTTATAGTCAACCTGGTCGCTGCCGACCTGCTGGTCCTGGGCGTGTGTCTGCCAGCCCTCATCTCCGAGCTCTTCGCCCCGCCCGCTGTCTGGGTCCTCCCTGCCTCTATGTGTGAGTACCCGCACGCTGTCTGTACCCGCACGCTGTCTGGGTCCTCCCTGCCTCTATGTGTGAGTACCCGCACGCTGTCTCTCTGTACCCGCACGCTGTCTCTCTGTACCCGCACGCTGTCTGTACCCGCACGCTGTCTGTACCCGCACGCTGTCTGTACCCGCACGCTGTCTGGGTCCTCCCTGCCTCTATGTGTGAGTACCCGCACGCTGTCTGTACCCGCACGCTGTCTAGGTCCTCCCTGCCTCTATGTGTGAGTACCCGCACGCTGTCTCTCTGTACCCGCACGCTGTCTGGGTCCTCCCTGCTCTATGTGTGAGTACCCGCACGCTGTCTCTCTGTACCCGCACGCTGTCTCTCTGTACCCGCACGCTGTCTGGGTCCTCCCTGCCTCTATGTGTGAGTACCCGCACGCTGTCTCTCTGTACCCGCACGCTGTCTCTCTGTACCCGCACGCTGTCTGGGTCCTCCCTGTCTCTATGTGTGAGTACCCGCACGCTGTCTGTACCCGCCGGCTGTCTGGGTCCTCCCTGTCTCTATGTGTGAGTACCCGCACGGTGTCTCTCTGTACCCGCACGCTGTCTCTCTGTACCCGCACGCTGTCTCTCTGTACCCGCACGCTGTCTGGGTCCTCCCTGCCTCTATGTGTGAGTACCCGCACGCTGTCTGTACCCGCACGGTGTCTGGGTCCTCCCTGTCTCTATGTGTGAGTACCCGCACGGTGTCTGTACCCGCACGCTGTCTGGGTCCTCCCTGTCTCGATGTGTGAGTACCCGCACGCTGTCTCTCTGTACCCGCACGCTGTCTGGGTCCTCCATGCCTCTATGTGTGAGTACCCGCACGGTGTCTGTACCCGCACGGTGTCTGGGTCCTCCCTGTCTCTATGTGTGAGTACCCGCACGGTGTCTGTACCCGCACGCTGTCTGGGTCCTCCCTGTCTCTATGTGTGAGTACCCGCACGGTGTCTGTACCCGCACGCTGTCTGGGTCCTCCCTGTCTCGATGTGTGAGTACCCGCACGCTGTCTCTCTGTACCCGCACGCTGTCTGGGTCCTCCCTGCCTCTATGTGTGAGTACCCGCACGGTGTCTGTACCCGCACGCTGTCTGGGTCCTCCCTGTCTCTATGTGTGAGTACCCGCACGGTGTCTGTACCCGCACGCTGTCTGGGTCCTCCCTGTCTCTATGTGTGACTACCCGCACGCTGTCTCTCTGTACCCGCACGCTGTCTGGGTCCTCCCTGTCTCTATGTGTGACTACCCGCACGCTGTCTCTCTGTACCCGCACGCTGTCAAAGTCTACGGTTCGCCCCAGCCACGTTTCACTATCTCTCTCCGTCGGAATATCTTAGCGATATCTGATATCAGCGATATCCGATATCTACGATATCTATCTTAGCGACTACTTCAGCCTGGGGTAAGTCTTGCCTCCCCCCCCCCCCCCCAGGAAAGGCAACCCCCCAACAACCAATTATCTCCCAAGTTGCAACAAAAAATGACTCGCGACTCATATTCTCCAGCGCGCCAGCAACAGTTAAATGAATCACATCTTTATTACTTTGAGTTCTCCATCTGCAGGAGAAGGAAGGCGTTGCTTGTTAGTGAGGAACCGTGAGAGGGGGGGGGGGTAGGGGGGAGGGGGGGTAGGGGGGAGGGGAGGGTAGGGGGGGATGGGGGAGGAGGGGGTAGGTTGTAACAACACACAATCAATCCCACGACCTGAAGGATGATTGTATCTGACAATCACGGTTGTGTCACCACAACATACAACCCTCTGGTTGTGTGTGTCACCACAACACACAACCCTCTGGTTGTGTGTGTCACCACAACACACAACCCTCTGGTTGTGTGTGTCACCACAACATACAACCCTCTGGTTGTGTGTGTCACCACAACACACAACCCTCTGGTTGTGTGTGTCACCACAACACACAACCCTCTGGTTGTGTGTGTCACCACAACATACAACCCTCTGGTTGTGTGTGTCACCACAACATACAACCCTCTGGTTGTGTGTGTCACCACAACACACAACCCTCTGGTTGTGTGTGTCACCACAACACACAACCCTCTGGTTGTGTCACCACAACATACAACCCTCTGGTTGTGTGTGTCACCACAACATACAACCCTCTGGTTGTGTGTGTCACCACAACACACAACCTCCTCCATGGTTGCATGTCAACACTACCCAGAAAGGAGATGTTTGTCGAGCATGAAGTTAAACAAGTCCAAGTAACTTTAAACAAGTCTGGTTATCCACCTTCATCTCCAGTATTTGTTCAATAGATTTTCTTTACCAGACAGCTGGTACCAGTTTGTAAATGATGCAGCTGCTGCCTCGCTCCGTACAGCTGCCTCCTCCACTCTCTCTCCGTCCAGTTGCTGCCCCCTCCACTCTCTAGCTCCGTCCGCTCCACCTAGAGGAGACAATGTTGACGTTCGCGACCGAGTGATCCGCATGAGAGGCGGATTATGTGAGCACACAGCTGTGAAGACGGGCT